GCGTTTCCCCTCAGATTAGCGGGCTTTATTACTGCCACCAACCACTGGTCTGACAAATCCTCTTATTTCATTTTACCTTCTTCTCCCTCCTCTACCTCTGCCGTGTTCTTTCTTCTTCCTTTATTTCCCAAAAATCTCCCTTCCCCTCGACTCTCGCAGCTCCCCAGCAGCTTTGCATACTTCATTTTGCATTTACTGTGTAACAGCCCCCGTTTCTATTTGCTTGCACTTTTCTCTCCTCCTCATTGTCTTTTTCATCTGCACAGCTTTGCTGTTACCCACACAGTTCTTTTTCCAGTGTTTCTCCACTCAGCCTATTGCTCCACTCCGCCCTCGCTCCCTCCTGCCTCTCTATGGTGTGATGAATCTGTAGACAGGGGCTAATAATTGTACTTCAGCCCAAGTGCTCATTTTTCTTTGTGTTTGAAAGCTGTGACAGGCAGGGGCTTTTTTCCCCCCTTTTCCACCTCCCCCAGTCCTTCTCTTCGCCCCTTTCTCTTACCTTTTCTTTCTATCCTCACACAATAGGTGAGTAAAATAACTCAGGGTTTACAAGGTCACGCTGTCTTGTAGTGAGGATGCACTGGGGATTTGGAGCTGGAAGTATTTCCTCAAAGGCACTGTGTTGGGACTTCAATAAAGAAAAAAAACAGAAAGTTATAGATTGCACAAGCAGATCTACAGGGGAAAATAAGTGCATTTGATTGGAAATCAGTGCATGCCAGGAATCTGGATTCAAATACTGCTTCTAAAGCCACTTATAAATGACCAAATGAGAGACTGAGGCAAGGTGGGGAGTAAAAACATCCACTTTACCACACATCACTTCTGTGATGTGAGAAGTGAGAGAATGAGTAAATTTGCTAGATTTTCAGAAAAAGGAGAAACAGTATAGCCAATTTTGTAAAAGAAAAATGTTAAAATAATTGTTTATTATTCCATAATTTCACATTAAAAAATATGAAAAATCCAACTTTTATTTCCCAGGTGAAATTACAGCTAAAACCAGTCAAATATGAAAACTGATGTTTACCAACCTACTGTGTTCGTTTTCTCTGATATGCATTTTTATGCATTTCTTGCTAACAGTTACAGTAAGTCAACATATATGTGTGTGTGTGTTAAACAGAAATCTTTCATTTTAATTTCACTGTTTTTTTTAAAAAAAAAAGAGTCAAAGAGAGAAAATAAATGATCCTGTAACAAAAACATGCAGCGGTGGTTATGGTGACTTGTCCACTTTATTCGTCCCTTCAATACAAAACATTGATAAATAAGATCAACTTTAAGAAATCGAAATTTAAAAGGAGCTCCACTTTCATTTATTTTACAGAGACTGCTGAGGGTAAAAGAAATGGTTGAACTGGTGATTCTTAAAAAATAAATTCATATGTCGACGCAGATGGAAGAGACTCAAATTAAAAGATGGACTTTTCAGTGTCAGATTATGTTATAGCAATAAAATTAGATATTCATTTTAAGGCTTTTCGAGTGTTTTTAGCAGGGGAGAAAATAAATGGTAAAAAAAAAAGCTTTGTGTTTTCTTGCATTTAAATAATCTAAAAAAAATCTGCACTACAGATAACTTTTTTCATTATTATTAAACTGTGCTAATAAATTCCAAAGTAGTTCCAGTGAGATGCTTGAATTACATTATAGTCTTGCACTCCATATAAAAGAAAACAATCTGCAAGCAAAGCACATAGTTAGATATTGAAAGAAAACAATATTTCCATTGACTCACATCCAGCGATACTTTATGAAAATTGATCAACAATTTTAATCCTGGAGCCATCTTCAGAAGGACAAGATAAAAAGAGAGCGAAAGGGAGGTGGGAGAGCAGAGAGTAAGACTTTTATTGCCTACCGTCGTAAGATGGTAAAGTTCCTCTTGGCAGATATTTATTGGGTTAGTTGAGTCCGGAGAGAGCTTTAACATTGATTGTGATCATTAAATATATCCGCTTGAAATGGCAACATGGCATTCCTTCAGTCAATGGAGCCAATAGGAGCAGAACAAAGGCATAATCAAATCAATCCTCTCATAATTATTCTCTGAAAGGTGGAATTAATCACAAGAAGAAATAAAAACAATAATGGAAAATGAAATGGTGAGTCGTAAACAATTACTGCCTAAATTGAAATAAACCCAGTGAAGGGGGAAAAAAAAAATCAGCTGTAAATCCAACAAATTAAAATAACATTTCAGAGTATATTGGTTATTTGGTTTACACTGACTTTCGGTTATTATACTGTTGAGCAGGCTGTGTTATTACAGGAGAGAGCGATAAAGGGATGGGGGAAATGAAGAGGGAGAAAATAGGAAACGATGTGTTGTGGAGGGGGAAAGGGCGACCTGAGTCTGGGGTCAAAGGATCAAGGAGCACCTCTCATGAAAGCCATGATTCTCTCTTCTTCCTGCTCGCAGAGAGGAAGTGTAGCTTATCGATTAGCTATCAGATGATTCCGATACGGTCTGATCGATAGGATGAAGCCAGGCAGGACCCTCCCCATCCACTCAGGGACCCACCCAGAGATCTGCGGTCGCTGCACTGCAGACCACCGCAGACCACCGCAGACCACCGCAGACATCAAGCTGTTTGTTCACCATCAGAGAATTCTCCTTTGGTCTCCTGTCCAGTTAAAAGCTTCCTGAAATAAATTTCTCTTCAATGAGCCAATAAATTATTCAGGCATTAGTCTCACACACAGACATGATAAATAGAAAGCACATGGCAAATTCTTCATTTATGTTCAAAGTATTCATATCCCTTGAACCTTTACCAAAGTTTTCACGTTGTAACCACAAACTTCTTTTAATTAGGATTTTATATGATAAACCATTATTGTATTGATTTTTTTGTGGTTTTTTTTTTGTACACATATGTATTTGTATTTACTCCTCCTTCCTTTGGTATCCGTAGATAATATTTGGGGTAGCCAATAACCTTCAATTATCTGTGTTCAATTCAGTGACAGTTTAGTCATTGATTAGAGATCAAACAGTATTATAAAGACCAAGAAACATGCCAGAGAGTTTGAGAGAAAATTGTGGAGAAGTTTAAAGCAGAATGAGATTGTGAAACATTATTTCAAGCTTTGAACATCTCATGGGGCATTCTTCAATCCATTTTTTGGAAATTGAAAAAGTTTGACACAATTGCAAAACTACCAAGACCGTGCGCCTGAACTGACAGACTGGGTAGAGCAACAATAATCGAATAGGCAACCAAGACACAATCGGTAGCTCTGAAGACGCCACTGAGATCTGCAAACAGCACGAGCATTCGTCACAAGCCACAGATCATCATTGGAAAATTCAGAGAAGCCATGTTTATTGCAAAATATATAAAAAGATCAAGAAGCATGAATACTTTTGAAGAGATGTACTGTCTTTCTGCCATCGCTGTAAGAATGAGCAATAAAGAATAAGAATAATTTGTTTTATCAAACAACTTGGCAAAGTAAACAATGTGGAGATCTGCCTGCCAGGGGTGAACCATTTTGTGAAATCATCCCCCTCAGAGGTTCATGGAGAGGCTCAACAATCTGCAGGGTTAAAATATAAACTTTTATACTTATTTTTTAAAATATTTATAAAATGTTAAAGAGTCTAATCAGCACCATGGACAGCACTCATATTTTTTTTCCTGTACAGTTTAAAACTACAATAGTGTTCAATGGGACTTCATTCAGTTAAGTTTCTTCCTGAGCTGTTCTCTAAAATCACACTGTCATTTGGAAAAACTTTATTATACATTTTTATTTAAGTTTCAGGTGCTATCCTAGTCGATTCATAACCAGGGAAACTTAGTGAAATGCTTTCTGAGTTAACTCTAGAGTGTGAACGTGTCAGATGCTGTGGTGCTCTGACGTGGGTCCAGTGATGTGAAAGGACAATGATAAGACACCTGCAGGACACAGCACTGCTGTAGGCTGGTCACTTTTCCTGGAATTGTATTTGCTTCAAGGGTAAAAGTTTTTTTTTTTTGTTAAAAAAGAGATTAAAATGCATTTAATCTTTTTTATCTAAAAATATTATTATTATTGATTGTGGTTATGTTGATCTTTTTACTCACTTATTTCCTTCCAAACAACTGAGGATAATAGTGCCATTCTACCTTTCATTTACTGTCAGACATTAACTACAATGTTTTGTATTCTAATTTACGGTGACACAAATATTTAATCTGGGCCTAAATATGAAACAATGTCACATACTCTAATTTGTTAAACCTAGTTCATGCTTTTAAAAAAATATCATTTAATAAAAGCAGACACACTTAAAACTTGAAATTTAACAAACTTGAGAAACATACAGTGCATAAAACTAAAGTAACAGAACTTTGTTCTAAAACTAAATGAAAAACTGGACAATGCAATATGTGTAAGCTGACGTACAAATACATTTATTAATTATTGCAAACTATTTGAAATCTGAAGGATTTTAAAGTAAGAAAATGACAAATTATGTTAAATTAAGAGTATTAATTGCTCACCATTCTATTGCTGATTTAAAGCTCGTTTTGCTAACTACCACAGTAACAAGACGGACTCTATCACATGTATCCCTGTGTTGATCAATAAATTTGTTTCTTTTCCTTATGTTTTGAAGATAATTATCTAATCACTTATGATGCAGGTTAGAAATGTAATATAGTTCTTTTGAAATTATTTTCCGGCTTTAAAGGCCACTGAAAATGTATGTGAGGCTGTTTGTATGATTGACTGATCTGTCCTTTCAACACATGGTGTAAAAGCTTCTGTGTTAACACAGACCTTAAATCTAACGTTTCAATAATGTGATTGTTTGCATCTAATGTGAGCTAGAATGTATAACACTGATAAATTAAGTTATTCCTCACATTCCTACACAAATATCACTCACTAACGGCCTACAAATGAATGCACTTTTAGAATTTCGTATTAAAAACAAGCACATGGATTTGTTGAATGCTTTCCCATGTTTATTTTTTTTCCCTTTCTTCTTTCAATTTCAGATATTATGACACTGGAATGCTGTTTTATGAACAACCTACGGCACCTGGACTGCCATGAAGCACAATGTCTCAAAAGCGACTCGCCCTCCCAGCGGCTTCAGGACGACCCAACCCAAATACAGAGGCTCAATACTAAAGATTACAATTTCAAAACGAAACAACAAACTGAAATTGCAAATTCTCGTACAACAGCAAGAGGAGACGCAGGGAAAAGGAAAGATCCTGGTATTTGTAAATAAGACTCTTCCATAGTGGTAAAATATCATTCCATAAATCTCCAAATTGTAATTCAGATTTAGTACAGAAACTCTAGTTTGACCATCGCAAGAAGAAAATTAGGATGCCCTCTACAAATCAGGTGGATGTAAATACTGTACAGACAACTAGTAAGGACATTGATAAAGATTAAATTATTGCAGAATAATGTAAATAGTCATAAGAAACATACCTCTAGCGTGTTTATATATCCGTAAGGGTCCTATGCTCTCTACTTTTTATTTCTCAAAAGGTTAGACTCCATAACTCGGCAGAAAAGTCTGCACCAAAGTCTATCACCAAAATGATACTGATTACAAAGACATTCAATTGGAAGATGGTATTTCTTATATAGCTGCAATCCGACTCTATGCTTACTCATGAACTTTGTGCGGTCAAAGGGTTACAAGACGACAGCAGATAAAAAATAACTATTCTTTCTAAGTTCTCGAGTTCCTACTGTAAAGTAACAAAAGAAAGTTACACTTGAACTTAAGCTGTAAATGAAACCCCCTCCTCACTGTGTATGTAGCGTGTTTTAGCCCTGTAGTGATGTGACATATCCATGCAGACCTCTTCTGGTTTGTCAGTTTTTGTATAAAGCAGTCAGAGTCTTTTATTAAGTTCACCCCCAAGTCAACATCAACAGCTTCCACTTTGACTTCTTCCTCACGCCATCCTGGATCTCAGTCCGTTAGAGGGACTGGATCCCGACTGATCGCTCTGCAACCAGGCGCTCACTCAGCTCCCACAGGCCGGCGGCGCTGCTCAGATCCTGGGCTTGGTTGGACGGCTGGCAGCGGAAGCAGTTGTTGAAGTACATGCCGCCCAGCCCCTCCAGCTCTGGGGCCACTGCGCAGTACACCGTGGTGGCAGCACCTTGTTGCTGTGGATGGAAAAAGAAGAAAAGAAAAAATAAAGGACACAATAAGTGGCACTTAGTTGGGTTCATCCTGCAGGAGGAGACAAAACATGGAGAACTCATCTACTCGCACACAGACATTCAGAGGTGTCCTGTCCAGAGAAAGGCTGAACGTCGGAGGCAAGCAGCATCCAGACGTCTTTTATGAGATAAACGCGTACATGCAGGGAGTCCGGAAGAGGAGACAGCAGGACTGAGTGGCCACAGGAAAATAAAAATAAAAAGACTTTCACACACAAGCTGTCTCACCCTTCTCTCAGCCCATGAGGACTGCCTCGTATAAACACAAATGTACATACATGTGTGTACATATATTTATTTGTTTATTTACTTCTCTACCTGGCATGTACAGGACTTCTGAGTGAAAATTCCAGATGCACAGACACAGTGGAAAAGGGCAAAAGCAATCTCCAGTCCGGACGTGAAACGCCACTGAAAATGCAGCTTTTATGTAAATAACACCAAAATAGGTTTCAGTGGAAATGAAGATGTATATTTTCACACTATGTGTACAGCGGTTGAGCCAGGCTTTTAAAGTTAAGTATAAGCATTGGAAATTATGCAAGAATAATTCTGTATCTAAGTTATAAGTCAGTTACTGATAGAAAAAAAAAGAAAATTTTTTTTCCTGTAGGGACACGCACACACACGCACCAGAAAGCTTCCTCACTAATTTTCTCTAAGTACATTTATTTATGAGCATCATAAAGTCTTAAACTCAGAAACTCAGAGTTTTATGTTGTTTCTGAAAACTGAAAGGGCGTATGGGCGCAACCTGCTAAGTTTTCTAACACACCATGTCCTTTCAGGCGGTAATTAGCAGGGATATTCTTAGAGGTGGTGGAGGGGGGAGAGATTTCTGTGACATTTGAAAATGAAAGTTGAATAAACACGTCAGAGAGAATTACACACATAACCCGACTGCTCAAAGAGGGATCTTTCATGTTGCGGTTCCGGCTAAAAGCTGCTGTGACAGCTTCCCTGCAAAACACCCGGGGCTGGAGACGACTTCTGTACGACCACATGAAATGGCTTGCCCACTTTATCTCCCGATGAGAGTGATGAGAGTTTTAGCACAGAGCACTGGCACGCACCGAGACGAGCCCATATGCGCAAAAGTCAAACACACAGATATATACACGCATGCATAATGGAGAGGCGTTACATGCCAACTGTTTGAACAGCTTCATAAAGCAGCTGTGAGGCTAATACACATGAAGTGAAGAGATTCTGTTTTTTAAAATAAATATGTGCAAAATGCATATGCAATAAACAAAACAGGAAGAGGATTTTAAATTTTTATTTTTTACTTATTTAATCAGTAGAAACAAACTAGCTCACAGACAACCCCCTCCTGTAAGTTGTGTGTTCAGATCCACAAGGATGCGACCCCACAATGTTACAGCAGCAGCAGCAGCAGCAGCAGACCGAGCCTGTTTGAAGCGGTGTGTGATGAGCGAGCTGGTAAACAGCAGATGAAACGGCTGCATCTCTCTGTGAGCCGCTGTCTGTCTCACCTGCCAGCCAGGCGATAACTTCGTCCACGTCACATGTCACCATATCAAAGCCGCTTAAATGCCAAGCAATGTCTCTGAGTTACAGGTTCACAAGCGCTCGGTCTAACTCATCTCCCTCACCGAGGGCATCTGATTTAGCTCGTCTGAGAAGCAAAACCGCTTTCAAACTCGATAGAGGAGTGCGCCGCTGCAGGGCTTTGAGTTGCTGACGCACCTTGAACTCGCTTGGCTTTCTGAGCGCTTAATTACCAAACACTACTACAGCAACAATTTCAAATGAAACTTTCAGAATCTGGATTTTACATTCTTTGGAAAGCAAACCCAGAGTGCAGCAGTGCAGTTCATGCCAGATAAACTATTACATAGACTGCTTATACAATCTTCTTGGTGTTTAGCTCAGCCCCACACCACTTGATCTTGTGACCTCTGTAAGAGATAAGGCTGATGAGATTAGGCATTAACATGCTTAGCCACCCACCACAGCCATTTATCATTGTGTATGTGCATTTGCAGATAGGATAGGCAAAGTGTGTGTGAGGTAGAAGTACGGGCAGCATGAACAAAAATCTTTCACACTTCATTTTGCACAGAAATGCATTCCTATGTGCATTTATGGCAAAAGGGAGTAACTGCTTAAAAGAGAAGACATGAAGAAATCAAAGCAGAAGGTAAAGAGTACCCATTTCCAACCCATCTCTAAGTGTAGATGAGGTCTGTAAATTTAGCGGTCTGCAAACTTTCGGTGTGTCTTTATCTTCTTCAGCTAAATGTTAATCATTACCTTGTGTACAGTACTTTTACTGAGAAACATCCTTGGTGTTTTGCTCTTTTCCAACTAGAGCTGTGAACTTGAACTCGAGATCAATTCAGGGAAAGTTTAAAGCTGAACAAATGAGAGATTTAAGATTTGTGCAGAATACAGAGGAACAAAAAGTTCCTCGATGAAAAGATAATTTTCTGAACAAGCAGCCTGGTGACAGTTCACAACCTAAAACATTTTACTCTGGTCACCCCGAATAATTTCTTCACCAGATAAAAGCTTTAATTGCAGCTGAAGAGTTACAGCAACTTGCAAACGTATCTCTTGAACTTTTTCATTTTTGTCATGTTATAATAACCTTAAACTTTAATGCATTTTTTTGTGTGTGTGTGTTTTTGATAGATTAACATAAAGTTGTATGGAGAGAATATGTGAATATGAGTTTATGTCTGCCAAAAATCCACAAATTGGACCTTTACTGGTCATTTCTGACACATGAATATGCTTTGATCTGGACCAATCTATTGTAGCTCTGGGTTTATGATTTGGGGTCCTGCCTCCTTGCTGAAGAAAAGCATTACATTGACTTTCCCATGTTTCACTATGAGGATCATGTCCTCAGGATGACACTGCAGACGCAATTTTAGTTTTACTACATCAGTAACTTCTGACGGAAATTGCTTGGACTACATTTTATTTATGGACATCCAAGTAAAGTGGGCGGAAACCAGTGCATGTTTTCAGATTTGCAATTTTTAAAATGTTGAAAGTCAGTAACGTGACAAAATGTGAAAAAGCTTAAGAGGTATGTGTCTTTTGCAAAGCACTGGAATAAATTAAGTTAAATATGCTGAATAAAATAAAGTTTGAACATCTGGAACATTATAGTGAACCTAACAGTTCAGAGTCTTGAACACGTCGTCATACGCAAAGATTAATAATATAAGGACAGAAGACCAAGTGACAGAAAATGTGCGCCAAAATAAATCCAAAAGCGTAATATGCAAAAGCAGAAGATAGATTACAGCAAGACAGCAAACCAAAAGAGTAGGGTAGAAAAATACCTGACAGCAGGTTCTGTGAATATCTGCTTTTTGTGGATAATAAACACTGTTACTGAAGAAATATACCGTACAGTAACAGTGTTTTTTTTGGTGAGCAGTACAAGCTTGCTTACCGTTGAATTCAGCACTATAGCTCTGGAACAGCTCTGGGACCAGATCCAAGTCTTCCAATCAAACTATTGACCCAATACCCAAGAACCTCATGTCATGGACTGGCAATAGAAATGTCCTAATAAAGCGTTGAGCAATAACTAGAAGTCATACTGAGTGTATTTGCAAAGCAAAAAGGTGCACGGGTAAGATGCTTTGTCGTTAAATAATCAGTATTCTTACATTTGCCGTGTTTCGTTTTGTCTCTTCGTCATCAGAGTTGTACTCAGCTGTACAAGCTTTCTCTGACCCTATGCATGTGACCCCTTCAACCCTTCACATCTGTAGTTACATCATCAACCTCTCCCTCCGACCTGAGTGTAAATAAGCCATCTCTGTAGAGCAGTCTGGTTTTGGCCTGTACATACAAACTTGTAAATACCAAAGTCTATGCATGCGGAAAACCTTGCAGTTCTTTCAGGTACTTTTATAATCCCTAAATCCT